GTGTGGCCATCCGCCTGGTCAGGGTCACCACTGTGGGGGCCAGCCACCGTGCCCCCCAGGTCCCGGGCAGCAGAGGGCCAGCGCTCACCTCTGCGTGTGCCCGCCCTGCGCCCCAGCCGTGTGCGTCCAGGTCTGATTGCTCCCTGCTCAGAACCTTACGGAGTAAAATCCAGATGTCTGTGGGTTTTCGCCTAACGCCATCCAGCCCCCTGCCGTCCCCCATCCCCACCTGTGCCCCAGCCGTCTCTCCCTGATGGCACGCTTCTCCTCTCTGCCCCCAGCCCCTCTCCCCACCACGTACACCCCTCATGCTTCCACAGAGCCCCCCTCACGTCTCCTTTGTCCCCCAGGCTGCCCCCATGCCGGAGGTGACCTGGCTGAAGGACGGCCTGCCTCTGCCTAAGAGAATTGTGACCTCCACCACGGAAGGCCTCGCCCAGCTCCTGATCCCTGTGGCCAGCAACTCGGACAGCGGCCTGTACACCGTGAGGCTGAGGAGCCTGCAGGGGAAGGAGGCTACCCACAACTTCCGTCTCAAGGTGGCAGGTGAGGGGGCCCGGACTGGGGCGCCACACACTGGCTGGGCCACACGCCGAGGCACAGGGCTTCCTGCTCGGCCAGGTCCCCGGTCTCGGCTGCTCTACCAGGCCTGGTGTGCAGGTGACCTCACCCCAACCCTCCTACGTGCTAGAGAGGAGAGCCCGGGGGTGGGGGCGTCTTGGGTTCGCCCTCCTTCTGCCGCAGGAACTCGGGGACAGTCAAGCCACAGCCCCCCACTGGACCTCAGTGAGTCTCCCTGAGCAGACGGTCACCCCCGTGACCTCACTCAGAGCCATGGGGAGAGCCATGGTCCTTGCAGGTGAAGACGCCTTCCCCAGGGGCACTGCCCCCTGGGAAGGGTCTCAGGAGGCAGAACGAACTACCGACAAAGGAGTCCCTAATGTGGCCTGTGACATCCCGCGCTCTGCGACGTCTTGGGTCATTTTACTTACAGACCGAAGGGACATTCCTGCCCCCCAGAGAGACCTGTGGACCCAAGTGCCCTCTGCCTCCAGCTTTCTGCACAGCAAGACTGTCCCCCAGAAGTCGTGGGGACCTGGGGAGGGCCACGCAGAGGCCCGTGGGTGTTGTCGGGTGTCCCGCTGGGTCCCCCCCAACCCGCTCCCTCTGGCCTCTGTCCCTCAGCGTACCCGCTGGCGCCCGGGCCCATCTGCCTGCAGGAGAACGTGCCTGGGACGGTGACGGCCGAGTGGGAGCCCTCCCCGGACGAGGCCGGGGACATGCCACTGTACTACACGGTGCTGACGCGCTCCTCCGGGCACGGCCCCTGGCGCGAGGTGGCCAGTCGCGTCCACACCAACCGCTTCACCCTGCTGGGCGTCCTCCCCGGCCACGAGTACTACTTCCGCGTGGTGGCCAAGAATGAGCTGGGCGCCAGCGACCCCTCGGACACCAGCCAGCCCTGGTGCCTCCCGCGGCAGCAAGGCGAGCTCCGCACCGCGGCCCCGGAACCCCGGGGGGACAGGGCACGTGGGGGGCCGGGCTCCACGCTGAGGTGGCCGTGCACGTCCCTGTGAGCGGCTGGACCCAGCGTCCAGCAAGCGGCTCGGAGCTGTTGCTCCCACCGCCATGTTCAACCCGCCGGCGCTGAGGTCCTCGGTGTCCCCTCGGGTGGCAGGCAGTAGGCAGAGCAAGGTCTAGAGTCACAATAAAGCGTATTTTCAGCCGAATAGAAGGGCCTTCAAAGCAGCCACTGGGCAAAGCGGGTTACGAAGCCAGGTGCACGGGTTCATTTTTCTAAAGTATTTATAGAAAAGGATGAAAAAGTGTGTCGAGCCCGGGGGCCAACTTTGCGAGAAGGCCCGGAAAACGCCTGTGTCCCCCCCGGAGCCGCCCGGCCCGTGTCACCTTCTGACGCTGCGTCTGGCCTGTTTTTCCCACAGCGAGGGGCACGGCGAAGGCTCCCGGCCCCCGGGAGCCCAACCTGAGCCAGAAGCCCTGGTTCCTGGTGGGCCTGCGGCCCCACCTGCTGCCCCAGGGCTGCGAGTGCTGTATGAGCTGCGCCGTGCGAGGCTGGCCCCGGCCCCAGGTCACCTGGTTCAAGGACGACCAGAGCCTGGAGGGAAACCCTGCCGTGTACAGCACCAACGTGTTGGGCGTGTGCTCTCTGGTCATCCCTAGCGTCACCCCCGAGGACAGCGGCCAGTACAAGGTGGTGGCCGAGAACACACTGGGCCAGGCCGTCAGCACGACCACCCTCATCGTCACAGGTAAAGGTGCCACCCTGGCCGTGTGCCTGCCCCCAGGGGCCCTGGCGTGTCTGTCTGCTCCAGGGTGACGACTGGGCTGGGGTCAGGACGTCACGGTCCTCTGTGCAGCTTCCTGTGGACTCTGCTGTTGAACCTGGCCCTTGGTGGCCGTCCGGGGACCCTGGTTTGCCCGTCTGTAAACTGTAGCATGTGGACAAGGTCACTGACGAGCAGTTCACGGCCGTGCCTGCCCCCAGGGGCCCTGGCGTGTCTGTCTGCTCCAGGGTGACGACTGGGCTGGGGTCAGGACGTCACGGTCCTCTGTGCAGCTTCCTGTGGACTCTGCTGTTGAACCTGGCCCTTGGTGGCCGTCCGGGGACCCTGGTTTGCCCGTCTGTAAACTGTGGCATGTGGACAAGGTCACTGATGAGCAGTTCACGGCCGGAGGGCCCGTGTCACCTGCCTCGGCTTCCCAGGGTGGCCTTGCAGT